GTGATCAGTCTCTTTGCTTCAACACACTTTGGTGTTTCAAAATGAATAGAACTAACTGCAAGAGAGACAGTAGCATTATTTACTTGTGTTGGGGGTCGTTTAGAGGGTAAAGAAGATATGTGGGTCTGTGTGCAATTATTTCATGTATAAAACTGGAAGAAATTTTTCTGGATAGAAAGCATCATTTTTTTTCATTTAACTTTAATTAAATCATAATTTTCATGTGCCTTACTTCTTGATTATTTTGTCTGAATCTTCCGAGTTATGTATTCAAAGTTTAAAACAAGTGAACTTGTTGTTTTAGGAACCAAGAAAGTTTATATCTCAAAATTTAAGACAGATTATATGTCTTTCAGTGGCTAAGATAAGTAAATCGACTGGCGTTCACTCGGTCCATCTAAAAAATGTTACCAACAAACTTACCACATATGTATTGGCAGATTTATTGGCAAACTCTGTTAGATCTGGTCAGGTCGCCCTTACGCTTGGCGTAACCTGTATGTATATAAAACAGTCCTCAAAACTAGTCGATGATTTCTGTTTTTTTTCTTTTTCTTTGAATGTTACAAATCTATAATCACCATCATCATCTGCAGCACTACTCTAGTACCACGAGTCTATGTAAATCAACATACTGAATTGTCTTTGCTCATTTGTTCAATATTGTTCATGAAATTTACATTTTTCCATAATAACAATACGGAAAGTGATTTATTTCTTATATCAAACAGCAAAACGTTAACCAAAGAAAAAAGTAGTGTTTGTGTGCACTAAAGAAGTCAGCTGCTTCTGCTTCAACCTTTTAACCCTTCTTCTCAATATTATATATAACTATATATCTTCACTCATGTACATCAAAAACTTCGGGCGGAGTCTTCACCAGATGCTTCATGTTTTGTTGAAGGATTCGAATCTGAAGGCTTTGTTGTAGGTCTTGATTCTAAAGGCTTCGTTGTAGTATTCAAATCTGAAGGATTAGTTGTAGGACTTGAATCTGAAAGCTTTGTTGAAGGACTTGAATCTGGTGTGGCCACAGCGGATGTGCGGTTGGGACTTGTGAAACCCGAAGATGATTGCGTGACTGAGGTTACGCTTGGTAGATTCTCCTGAGAAGCATGCATGTTGACTCTTATCCTGTTGTGGATGTTCACATACTCATCAGTTTCGTCAAGGATCTCTTCCTGAAATCAGAGCAAAAACACAATTAGGATTAGATTATATGGCCCAACAATAATGCTAAAGCGGGATGCTTATGACGCTTTTTAGGTCTCTATGCTGAAAGAGGGTTTGAGTTACTTGAAGAAGCTCTTCGATAACGTCTTCCATGGTGATAACTCCTACAACCTCTTCATTGGTAGGGAAAACAGGTATAGGAGAATTCTCAATGTCCAAAATGCAGAACGAACAGCCTCTATGTCTCTTCTTAGCTGGGACAGCTGATAAAGTCGTCTTCCCCTGCTGCTCCTCTCCGTTCTCGCTCTTTCCGGATTTTGCATCTCCAGTTTCGATTTTGAATACTAAAATTCCAAAGGAACATTAAGCTAATATGTGGTCTCTTGTTTATCAATGGAAGATCGCTAATACTGAATGTCATGTGGAGTTATATACCTTCCTTCTCTGATACCTCACTCTGCACTTTTGGTTTCCTACAACTGTCCTTAAACAATTCCTCTCTACTTTTCTTGTTTTTTCCACGCTCGATACCATTTTCGCTTGTTTCGGGAGAGCCCTTTTGCTCGTCAAGATCCTTATAGACTACTGCAATGTGGCTGTGACCCTTCTGGAACTCGTTGAGGATATCATATAATGGCATTGTCTCAGAGACACTATATAAAAGAAAACTAAATGTAAGAACTGTGTGATGCTATTAAAAATCCTGGTCGTAATCTGTGTCAAGAAAAAATTATGCATCAGCTAGAGTCATTTACCGCGGAATTTTTCTCATGGTCATTTTTCTCAAAGGAACTTCGTTTCTTGCATCAACTGCCAAGAGATTTTTAACCTGCAACACAAAAAGGTGACATTAAATGCTGTGAAGGAAAACATCATACCGTTCATAAGTAATTACTTTTATCAACGTATAAGAGGAACACACTGCATGTTGTAAGATTCAATAGTTACAAGATAGCCATTTTTTTAACTTTACCTAGACAATTCAGAAACCAAAAGGATAGCAAAGATAAAGAACCCATCAACTATCCCAAATTAATGGAGCATTAATATGAAAGAGATGTACCAAAATGAGCCCAATTATATGTGTCGGGTTTCTGTAATATACTGGAACTCTGCTATGACCAACTGCCATTATTGTATTCAAAGCTTCCCTGTATTGTAGATGATGGTAGATTATAAGTCCAAATAATATAAGCTAAATTAGAGTTAATAGAAGAGAAAGGAAAGAAAAAAAAAAAACCCACAAATTAAGAGTTGAATCAAGATCAAGAGAAAATGCGTTCGATATGGGAGTCATGGCATCTTTTGCCGTCTTTTCTGTTAATTCAAGTGCGCCTGTGATAATAGAAGTCTCATCGTTCGTTAGATCCCCACCTTTCCCAGCCTAACGAAAAAATAAAATTAACAAAAGTATGTCAGAATGGTTTGCTTCAGTGTAAAAGATATAAAGGTTAAGTCACAAAGCTGCCTCATTCCAAGAGCTACTAACTTTGGAGGAGACCACAACTTCAGATTATCAATTGCAAGCTCGTAGCAAAAGCTGCACTAGATGACATTCCTAAAGTTAACCGCATACCTCGTTTCCATGGAAATTCATGAATGTCTTCAGCTCTGCTCTTCGTAAGATAATACCATGTCCCTTACCCAACATCCAATCAAGAACCTAAAACATCAATGTTTATCAGCATCAAGCAACAACATGAGCATTCTGATTTTGGTTCACACACTCTCTACCTTGCTGATTGGATAGGAAAGAGGGTAGAACAGTATAAGAAGAACACGGACAAAAGGAGCCATTATCGCTCCAACCTTGAGGCCGTATCGAGTACAAACTGCCTGCGGCATTATCTGCCAATTCAAAGATGAACAAAATATAATCAAATCAACAAATCTAACACTACACAGAAACGAAAAAAACTTCGGTAACAGATGTGAAAAACCTCTCCGAAAACGAGTATAAGAGTGACCGATAGAACGATCGCAGCCCATGGAGGCACAATTTTATCCAAGAATATTGGAAGAGCCTGCAAATGACAATGTCATGAGAGCCATAGAAAAGTCTTTAAATCACAAACCATAAGAGAGAAACGAATAAAGCATTTACCTCCATGGCCATAGAGTTTCCGATCAAGAGTGTACAGAGCAAAAGATGCTGATTCTTCACTACTGGGAATATCTTGCCTTACAAGAACAAAAACCGTACCACAAAATCAGCGAAAACAGAGAGCTAATTTCTCCACCAGAGAAGAAGATTAAAACAGGATTTCGAAGAGCAATATTCGCAATTGAAGGAGAGATCGGAATTGTGTTGAGTCAGTCGCTCACCTGCGTTGATTCGATCTTGAGGACGGCCAGATTTTATGAGAACTTCGAGGTCGACGAGTCCGAGAGACATGAGACCAAGGGTTAAACCAGCCATCAAACCAGCGAAGGACACAAGAGCTATGATTATGACGACGTAGAGGAAGAAGTCGGGTTCGCAGCAAGGTATATCCGACCCCATAATCTCGCTCCGTCACCGGAATCTGTTTTTGGCAGAGAGGATTTAGCTTGAAGAATTCGGAGATGGAGATTGAAGTTGTGCTGATCCGGAGAGACTATTGGGTAGTGAGTGCGTATCCAATTCAGGCGCAATAAAACGTTCTCCAATCTCAATTATACTCCTTTAGTAAAAAGCTTGTATT